CTAGACACAAAACGAGAAAGGTGTGGTGCCCAACAACGCAGAGTGCCATGGCGCTGCTTGATAAGGCCCAGCTTGGGTCGCCAAGCCACATAATCATACACACCGGAAGCAACGACCTGCGTGCTCAGCAGGAGAGGGTGGCGACTTCACTACGGGGAGTGATTGAGAAGGCCTCTGCAATCTTCCCCAACTCAAGGATCGTGGTGTCAACCCTTCTACAGAGGAAGGACTTCCACCCTGCCACAATCCAAAGAATAAACGCCAGCCTCTCCCGGGACTGTGCCCTGCGACCCAATGTACACCTGGCCCACCATCCCACCCTCGATCTTGACTGTCTCTATGACCATGTTCACCTGTACAGGGAGACAGTCCCCATCCTTGCTAAGACTCTCAAGGACGTCGCTTTAAACCGCATCCCGACCTCTCCACCCAGGAACAGCGGAGCAATCTCCACCCCCCCGAGATCACCGAGACAACACCCCGGACCAGTACCCTGGACCCCCCAGCCACAGCCACAGCACCACCAACCTCAATGCCCACCACATCCAGCGCAACACAGACCACCCCAGCCCAGCTTCAGACCCACCCAGACGAGGTCTAACACCCCCTCCCCCCCACCACAGACCCACACCTGGAGGAGCCACAGCCCGGCAGACAGAGCTATGCACAAGCTGTGAGAGGAGCAACTGGTCCAGCTCCCACCAACGAAATGAGTGACATCAAACAAATGCTGAATCTACTATGCTCACATATGATAGGCCGAGGGTCATGGTAAGATGAGCACAAGAACTCCACCATCCTCACACTACATCCACCCAAGTGGCATGACACAAATACTATCTTAAATGATAAACAAATCACATTTGCATAATAAGAGTTTACCTTAATTGAAAAATCCTATTTTAATAGTTCTTGTTAGATTGTGAGTGTTTATCTCATTTTGAATGTAAAGAAAAAACAGTTATGAAGTCTTTTTACGTTGCATGTTGGAATTTACAAGGCTTGAAGTCCTCTGCTTTTGGGCTAAAGAGCAGAAACCCAGACTTCCTTAAAGAAATTGATGATGTTGATATTGTAGTACTACAGGAAACATGGTGCAGAGGTGATGTTTCCACTGGCTGTCCACTAGGTTATAGGGAGATAATCGTACCATCCACCAAATTAAAAGGAATCACACAGGGCAGAGACTCAGGGGGAATGCTAATATGGTATAAATCTGAACTAACTAATTCAATCGAATTGATCAAAACAGGAGAATTCTTTATCTGGCTAAAAATCAACAAGGAGGCTATCTTAACAGATAACAACGTCTTCCTCTGTGCCACATACATTCCCCCCTCAGAATCACCCTACTTCAATGAAGAGAGTTTCTCCATTCTAGAGGGGGAGATTAGTCACTTTCAGGCCCAAGGCAATGTGCTGGTCTGTGGAGACCTGAATGCTAGAACAGCAGAAGAACTAGACAATATTAACAGTCATGGGGACAAACACCTACCGGGAAGCAACAACCTTTCCCTCCCCACATACCCCCCTAGAAACAACTATGACAAAGTGAAAAACAAAAATGGAGTACAGCTCCTGAAGCTCTGTCGAACACTGGGTCTGTACATAGTCAATGGTAGGTTAAGAGGGGACTCTTTTGGTAGGTACACCTACAGCTCATCCCTTGGCAGCAGTACTGTAGACTACTTCATCACAGACCTCAACCCAGAGTCTCTCAGAGCCTTCACAGTCAGCCCACTAACACCTCTCTCTGACCACAGTAAAATCACAGTGTATCTGAGAAGAGCAGAACCCAACCATGAAGCATCACGGCCCAATAAATTACATGGTACTAAACAGACCTATAGATGGAGTGCAAACAGTACAGAAATCTACCAAAAAGCAATTAGTAGCCAAAAAATACAATCTCTCCTGGACAACTTTTTAGCATTAACATTCTCCTACACCAATGAAGGTATAAATTTGGCCGTTTGGAACATAAACTTTATATTTGACAAATTAGCCTCCTTGGCTAATCTTAAGAAACATAAGAGCAAACCAAAAATAATAGATCATGAAAAATGGTTTGATAATGATTGCAAAAATCTAAGAAAGTCATTGAGAAATATATCTAATCATAAACACAGAGACCCAGACAACAAAAATATACGTCTTCAATATGGGGAAACACTGAAGTAATACAAACACACCCTAAGAACAAAAAAGGAACAGCACATTAGAAATCAGCTGGATGTGATTGAGGAATCCATAGAATCAAACCACTTCTGGGAGAATTGGAATAAATTAAACAAACCTCATAATGAGGAATTGGCTATCCAAAATGGGGATATGTGGAGAAATCACTTTGCAAACCTCTACAGCAATATAACAAAGAGCCCAGAACAACAAGATATACAAGAAAAATTACAAATCCTTGAATCAGCAGTCAAAGACTATCAGAATCCTGTGGATACCCCAATTACAGAACAAGAATTATTGGAAAAACTTTGCACTCTCCAACCCAAAAAGGCCTGTGGTGCTGATGGTATTTTAAATGAAATGATCAAATATACAGACCACAAATTCAAATTGGCTATACTCAAACTCTTCAACATTATCCTAACTGCAGGTATTTTCCCCGATATTTGGAACGAAGGATTGATCACACCAATTTATAAAAATGGAGACAAATTTGACCCAAATAATTACAGAGGAATTTGCGTTAACAGCAACTTGGGGAAAATTCTCTGCAGTATCATAAACAGCAGACTACATAATTTCCTTGATGAACACAACGTCCTAAGCAGAAGCCAGATTGGATTTGTAAAAAATTATCGTACAACAGACCACATTTACACCCTCCAGACTCTAATTGACAAACAAGTAAATCAAAACAAAGGCAAAATCTACTCGTGTTTTGTAGACTTCAAGAAAGCATTTGATTCAATTTGGCACGAAGGTCTTTTTTACAAACTAATAGAAAGTGGTATTGGAGGGAAAACATATGATGTTATTAAATCAATGTACACTAAAAACAAATGTGCGATTAAAATCGGCAACAAGAAAACAGACTTCTTCTCTCAGGGACGTGGAGTGAAACAGGGCTGCCCAATAAGTCCAACACTATTTAACATCTACATTAACGAATTGGCAAAAAACATTAGAAGAATCGTCAGCACCTGGTCTCACCCTACACAACACTGAAATCAAGTGTCTGCTGTACGCAGATGACCTGGTGCTACTGTCTCCCACTAAGGAGGGGTTACAGCAGCATCTAGATCATCTGCACAGATTCTGTCAGACCTGGGCCCTGACCGTTAATCTAAAAAAAACGAATATAATGATATTCCAAAAAAGGTCAGGAAATCAGGATGACAAATATACATTCTATTTGGACACAGTTCTATTAGAACACACCAAAAATTACACATATCTAGGACTAAATATCAGCAACACAGGTAGCTTTCACATGGCTGTGAATGAGCTGAGAGACAAAGCAAGAAGAGCATTCTATGCCATTAAAAGGAATATTAAAATCGAAATTCCAATTAGAATCTGGCTCAAAATTTTCCAATCAGTTATAGAACCAATTGCTCTATATGGCAGCGAAGTATGGGGTCCGCTCTCTAATACTGAATTTACCAAATGGGACAAACATCCAATCGAAATACTGCATGCAGAGTTTTGCAAGACTGTATTGCAAGTGCAAAGAAAAACTCAAAATAACGCATGTAGAGCAGAATTGGGCCAATACCCCCTCCTTATTCGAATAGAAAAAAGAGCCATCAAATTTTACAACCATCTAAAAACAAGTGACCCCAAAACATTCCATCACACAGCTCTACTATGTCAAGAGATGAAACAAGAGAAGAGTCCCCTCAGCCAGCTGGTTCTGAGGCTCAGTTCACTAACCAAAACCAACCTCATAGAGCCTCAGGACAGCACTCAGAAAATCTGGCCCAACCAAATCATCACAAAGCAAAAAGAAAAATATATCACCTATTGGAAAGACACCACAAAAAATCAAAGTAAACTTCAATGCTATTTGGCTCTAAACAGACAGTACATGGTGGCAGACTATCTGACCACTGTGACTGATAGAAAACTGAGAAAAACACTGACTAGGTACAGACTCAGTGAGCACAGTCTGGCTATAGAGACCGGTCGTCACAGGCAAACCTGGCTGCCCAGAGAGGACAGGCTGTGCGCACTCTGCCCCCGGGGAGAGGTAGAGACAGAGCTGCATTTCCTATTACACTGTGACAAATACTCAGACCTAAGAGAATCTTTCTTTCCCAAAATTATCATTCAGTACAACGAATTTGAAACTATAAAAGAGGAAGAAAAAATCAAATATTTATTGGGTGAAAAGCCAAAATGTGCAATTTTGGCAGCCAAATATGTGTCCTCCTGCCACAACCTGAGGGACAGCCAGTGAAAATTGTAATGTAATGTCAATAATATTTCCTGTTTTGTTTTGGCTTTCATAGCATGTAATATGTCTGCTCAGTCATGTTGAGATTGGTCGACTACTATTGCTTTAATGTATTGTTATTCTCATTAATATTGTTGTTGTAGTTGCTGTTAATGGTAATCCCATTTCCACTACTACTATTATTATTGCTGTTGGTCCCACCATTTTTGTTATATGTATACTTTGACAATGTAAGTAATTTTACTTGCCATGTCAATAAAGTCTATTGAATTGAATTGAATTGAGAGAGAGAAAGAGAGAGAGAGAGTGTGAGTGAAGAGAGCGAGAGAGAGAGACGAGAGCGAGAGCGAGAGCGAGAGCGAGAGCGAGAGCGAGAGAGAGAGAGAGAGAGAGCGAGAGAGAGAGAGAGAGAGAGAGAGAGAGAGAGAGAGAGAGAGAGGTGTGTATGTCTCACCCGGTTCTCCACAGCCAGTATGACCAGATTACAGTAGGCATCAGGGCATGGTGTCGGCTCCAGTGGGTTGTGGTTCCTCCTCTCCCAGCTTCCATAGCTCTTCCCCCTCTCCCAGCTCCCTGTACAGGCCTGCCTGCGTTCCCAGCTCCCTCCCTGGGTGTGCTTCCTCTCCCAGCTGCCTCCAGGCTTCCCTCCAGCTCCATGCCTCTTCTCCCAGCTACCTATATAGATTACAGTTCAGTATAGTTATTGATTATATTTACACATACAAATACACTTTAGCAGTTTACAATACGGGAAACAGTGTAGCTTACATGACATAAGATCATGAGCGTGATTAAAAAGAGAAACACATGAAACATTTCATACTGTACCTCCTCCTACTCCGCTGCCCCCGTGTCTCTTCTCCCAACTCCCCCCAACCGGTCTGGGTCGGTCCCAGCTCCCGCTCACTGGCCTCTTCTCCCAGCTTCCTCCTCCAGGCTTCCTGGTCTGTCTCCGCTCCCAGCTCCCTCCTACCCTCATCTGCCTCTCTAGACTGCCACCAGCACCTCAAATCAAATAAAATCAAACTTTCATTTAAAATCACAACACACTTTAAAACAATAAACTCAAAAGTAGTAAAAGGAAACAAGAAGCACCTCCAGCCGCTCCTCCTACTCCTCTTCCTCCTCCTTCTCCCCCAGCACCCTGCACCAGGCCTGGGTTGGGCTGCGGCTGCGGCTGCTTGGAGGAGGGTTTGTGGTTCTTCCAGTCCACTCCACAGATGGTGTGTCTGCGCTCCATAGTGCCACCTGCTGGACGGGGGTCAGAGTTGCTCATGGTCTGACGACGACCCTCGATGCCTCCTGGTTTTTTCTTCTCCAGGCTGTTACCGGCCACACTGCCTCCTGCCAGGACGGTATCTACGTTTAAACCTGGGGGAGGCGTCGGAGGATGAGGGAGTGGGACGATTGGAGGGGCGGCCTGCCGGGGGGAGGATTGGAGGAGGAGACGATGGAGGAGGAGGAGGATGAAGGAGGAGGAGGCAGGAGGATGGAGGAGGAGGAGGAGGGACGGAGGAAGGGATGGAGGGAGGGGGAAGGGATGGAGGAGGAGGGGACGGGGAGGAGGAGGAGGAGGCGAGGGAGGAGGAGAAGGATGGAGGAGGAGGAGAATGGAGGAGGAGGAGGAGGAGAAGGAGGAAGAGGGAGGAGGAGGAGGAGGATGGAGAAGGAGTGTCACCAAAGACATACAGTGGGGAAAAAAAGTATTTAGTCAGCCACCAATTGTGCAAGTTCTCCCACTTAAAAAGATGAGAGAGGCCTGTAATTTTCATCATAGGTACACGTCAACTATGACAGACAAAATGAGAAAAAGAAATCCAGAAAATCACATTGTAGGATTTTTAATGAATTTATTTGCAAATTATGGTGGAAAATAAGTATTTGGTCAATAACTAAAGTTTTGTCAATACTTTGTTATATACCCTTTGTTGGCAATGACACAGGTCAAACGTTTTCTGTAAGTCTTCACAAGGTTTTCACACACTGTTGCTGGTATTTTGGCCCATTCCTCCATGCAGATCTCCTCTAGAGCAGTGATGTTTTGGGGCTGTCGCTGGGCAACACAGACTTTCAACTCCCTCCAAAGATTTTCTATGGGGTTGAGATCTGGAGACTGGCTAGGCCACTCCAGGACCTTGAAATGCTTCTTACGAAGCCACTCCTTCATTGCCCGGGCGGTGTGTTTGGGATCATTGTCATGCTGAAAGACCCAGCCACGTTTCATCTTCAATGCCCTTGCTGATGGAAGGAGGTTTTCACTCAAAATCTCACGATACATGGCCCCATTCATTATTTCCTTTACACGGATCAGTCGTTCTGGTCCCTTTGCAGAAAAACAGCCCCAAAGCATGATGTTTCCACCCCCATGCTTCACAGTAGGTATGGTGTTCTTTGGATGCAACTCAGCATTCTTTGTCCTCCAAACACGACGAGTTGAGTTTTTTACCAAAAAGTTATATTTTGGTTTCATCTGACCATATGACATTCTCCCAATCCTCTTCTGGATCATCCAAATGCACTCTAGCAAACTTCAGACGGGCCTGGACATGTACTGGCTTAAGCTGGGGGACACGTCTTGCACTGCAGGATTTGAGTCCCTGGCGGCGTAGTGTGTTACTGATGGTAGGCTTTGTTACTTTGGTCCCAGCTCTCTGCAGGTCATTCACTAGGTCCCCCCGTGTGGTTCTGGGATTTTTGCTCACCGTTCTTGTGATCATTTTGACCCCACGGGGTGAGATCTTGCGTGGAGCCCCAGATCGAGGGAGATTATCAATGGTCTTGTATGTCTTCCATTTCCTAATAATTGCTCCCACAGTTGATTTCTTCAAACCAAGCTGCTTACCTATTGCAGATTCAGTCTTCCCAGCCTGGTGCAGGTCTACAATTTTGTTTCTGGTGTCCTTTGACAGCTCTTTGGTCTTGGCCATAGTGGAGTTCGGAGTGTGACTGTTTGAGGTTGTGGACAGGTGTCTTTTATACTGATAACAAGTTCAAACAGGTGCCATTAATACAGGTAACGAGTGGAGGACAGATGGAGCCTCATAAAAAGAAGTTACAGGTCTGTGAGAGCCAGAAATCTTGCTTGTTTCTAGGTGACCAAATACTTATTTTCCACCATAATTTGCAAACAAATTCATAAAAAATCCTACAATGTGATTTTCAGGATTTTTTTTTCTCAATTTGTCTGTCATAGTTGACGTGTACCTATGATGAAAATTACAGGCCTCTCTCATCTTTTTAAGTGGGAGAACTTGCACAATTGGTGGCTGACTAAATACTTTTTTCCCCCACTGTACTTTTCAGATTCAGATTGATTCATCCACACAACCATGTAGTATTTGCTTCACAGCATAGTAAATACAATCTGTGATTGGAGGCTGACAAACTATTAGATGCTGAACCCAGACATGGCTAATCATTCACATGTGTGTTACTGAGCTGCCTTGCCTGTTTTGAGCACCAGGAGGTGCAGTGCATCGTCTCTCAGGTAGGAGGCGGCAGCGATCTCGTGCGTGGGGATCCTCAGCAGCAGCTTCTCATTGTCTCGCCAGGTCAGAAGAAGACAGCGGGCTGACAGGCTCAGGATGCAGTCCTGCTCCACACTGGTCTTCAGGGGAAGCACCTTCAGCTGCTGCACAAACAACCACAAAACAACACAGATACACATTACACACCGGAGAACAGACACATATCCTGCTATGCAACGACTATGTAAACCTGTTTAATTTCATAGTACACCGGTCTTCAGAGGGAGCGCGTTCAGCTGCTGAAAACGCCACAGAACAGACATAGATTCTCTCTCTAAAACATCTGCTAAAACATCTACAACTTCACTCTGCCAGTGAATATCTGTTTTTGCTTTGATGCATGTGCAGTACCATTGTTGTGAATAGATGGAGGCCAGACCAATCAGCTCCCGTATATTACATTCACACACTGCTGTTTTTATTGGACGCTTAAATGTGTGTCAAACTCACCCTGGCAGTGTCCAGGAGCTGCAGTAGTTCGTCTCTACTAGAAGGGTTCAGAGAGCACGACACCCATGTCAGGTGACCAAGGAACTACAAGGACAACAAGGATCAAAGTTTAGAGTTTAGCAGTACTGTACTAGATAAAAGCAGAAGGCCATGATACCCAACAAGAGAGCGGGACACCCCATATCAAATCACATTTTATTCATCACATTCTTGGTAAACAACAGGTGTAGACTACCAGTGAAGTGCTTACTGACAGGTCCTTCCCAACAACAGGTGGAGACTACCAGTGAAGTGCTTACTGACGGGTCCTTCCCAACAACAGGTGGAGACTACCAGTGAAGTGCTTACTGACGGGTCCTTCCCAACAACAGGTGTAGACTACCAGTGAAGTGCTTACTGACGGGTCCTTCCCAACAACAGGTGGAGACTACCAGTGAAGTGCTTACTGACGGGTCCTTCCCAACAACAGGTGTAGACTACCAGTGAAGTGCTTACTGACGGGTCCTTCCCAACAACAGGTGTAGACAACCAGTGAAGTGCTTACTGACGGGTCCTTCCCAACAACAGGTGGAGACTACCAGTGAAGTGCTTACTGACGGGTCCTTCCAAACAACAGGTGTAGACTACCAGTGAAGTGCTTACTGACGGGTCCTTCCCAACAACAGGTGGAGACTACCAGTGAAGTGCTTACTGACGGGCCCTTCCAAACAACGCAGAGAGAAAGAAAATAGAGAAATAATAGAAAAGTAATAATAACTACACAATGAGTAACGATAGTTTAGCTGGATACACGGGGTACCAGTACCGAGTCCATGTGCAGGGGTACAGGGTAATCGTGGTAGATATGTACATATAGCTAGGAATAAAGGGACAGAAAGTAAACAGTAGCAGCAGCATATGTGATGAGTTAAAAAAGTTAGTGCAAAAAGAATCAATGCAGATAATCCGGGTAGCTATTTAGTTAACTGTTTAACTAACTATTTGGCAGTCTTATGGCTTGGGGGTAGAAGCTGTTCAGGGTCCTGTTGGTTCCAGACTTGGTGCATCGGTACCGCTTGCCGTGCGGTAGCAGAGAGAACAGTCTATGACTTGGGTGTCTTTTACAATTTTTAGGGCCTTCTTCTGACACCGCCTGGTACAGAGGTCCTGGATTGCAGGGAGCTCTGCCCCAGTGATGTAACGGGCAGTACGCACTACCCTATGTAGCGCCTTGCGGTCGGATGCCGAGCAGTTGCCAGACCAAGCGGTGAAGCAGCCAGTCAATGTAAGTCGCTCTGGATAAGAGCGTCTGCTAAATGACTAAAAAAAAAAAAAAAACAGGCAATCTTACCATATTTCTCCACTGTCAAACCAGAGTGTCTTGTTTGCAACGAAACGGTGGATGTTTGCAAATAATTAAATATTAGACATCCCATCCTTATGGATCTAAGCATGACACTTCCACCCAGAGAGAGGCTCGACCGACACAGAAAAATGTAATGCTTCAACTGCTCGCTACTCAACAACAGAGGTGTTCCCTAAAAGCTGCCTGGGTTTAAACATCTTCTCTTTAAAGAAAGTGAAAATCTCATAGAATTATATTTAGAATCCCTATTAATTCAATAGCATCTTTATGGGCCTAGTCATAAAGATTTGTCATTTGACTTTTTAAAAAATGTATTACCTTTTATTGTGGCATAAACGCAACCAGTCGTGATGTTTTCATCTGATTGTCAAACAATCACTTCAAAGGGCTCCTTTACTAGGTTAACCGCGCACGTTCATCCACTCGCAACATATTTCAAGCCTCCAAACAAAGTGGCGAATGGAAAGAGACATCTGTTACACAAAACACCAAAAAAAGTGTAACGACTTTTGACGATTGTCGTTAGACCAGAATTAACGCCTCCAATGCTGCCTGCCCACGTCCCGGTTTTTGTTTTCCGGTACGGCATACTCCCACTATTTATTACGCCGCCTTACTTTCACACCCTGGTCCCAGGGTCCTTAGCTTTAGTGATGAGCTTGGAGGGCACTATGGTGTTGAACGCTGCGCTGTAGTCAATAAACAGCATTCTCACGTAGGTGTTCCTCTTGTCCATGTGGGAAAGGGCAGAGTGGAATGCAATAGAGATTGCGTAGCTCAGTTGGTAAAGCATGGCGCTTGCAACGCCAGGGTTGTGGGTTCATTTCCATGGGGGGGGGGGCCAGTAGGAAAATTTATGCACTCACTAACTGTAAGTCGCTCTGGATAAGAGCATCTGCTAAATGACTAAAATGTCATCTGTGGATGAGTTGGGGCAGTATGCTAATTGGAGTGGGTGCAGGGTGTCTGGGATGATGGTGTTGATGTCAGCCATGACCAGCCTTTAAAAGCATTTCATGGCTACAGATGTGAGTGCTATGGGTCGGTAGTCATTTAGACAGGTTACCTTGGTGTTCTTGGGCACAGAGACCATGGTGGTCTGCTTGAAACATGTAGGTATTACAGACAGGGTCAGGGAGAGGTTGAAAATGTCAGTGAAGACACTTGCCAGCTGGTCAGCGCACGCTCTGAGTACGTGTCCTGGTAATCCGTCTGGCCCTGCTGCCTTGTGAATGTTAACCTGTTTAAAGGTCTTACTCACATCAGCTACTGAGAGCGTGATCACACAGTCCTCAGGAACAGCTGGTGCTCTCGCGCATTGTTCAGTGTTGCTTGCCTCAAAGCGAGCATAGAAGGTGACCCAGGAACTGAGGAGGAGGAAGTGCAATGGTATGTATGGTTGTGTCCCAAACACAAGACATCTTCTCTAGTAACACATTCTAGTAATATCCACACTTGCGTTTGAGACATAGCCTATGTCTGTATTTGCAAGTCTATTATCCATATGTGTAGCTGATGTGTCCTCCTCACCTTTGATACTACTACTGATTGATTGGTTGATGTCTCACCTTGACCTCCTTCTCTACATAGTCGTAGATGAGTCTCTCAGGGTGGATGAGGAAGTCTGGAGGGTAGAGGGGTACGGTGTGAAGTGGTCTACGGTACACACTGCTCCTGTCTGTCTGTCTGCGCCCTGACTTAGAGAAGACCAGGAGCTTGATGGGTGATACAAAGCCCTGAGGAAGGAGAGAGAGAGAGAGAGAGAGAGAGAGAGAGAGAGAGAGAGAGAGAGAGAGAGAGAGAGAGAGAGAGAGAGAGAGTAATTTTCTTTCATACTGGGGTAGTATGGTATGGTGTGGACAGGTCGACGGCACACACTACCTGTCTGTCTGCGTGACCAGGCGCTTGATGGGTGGCACAAGACCTGAGACGTCTGAAAATGTCATAGCTGCATACTCTCTCTGATCGATGCGGATTGATGCAACAGATTTAATATGAAAATCATAAAAACATTTCTGAAGCTACACTGGTACATATTTTCTGAAGTCTTAAAACACCAGCCATTTTGTGTGAATTCAACAGCAAGTCAAGGCTGAGTAATTGACTCCTAATGGCCATTCTCTCTGCCTCTTCCCTCATTCTCTGTAATAGTTTCCTTAATCACTTTGGTGCCATTTTCACAACTCTTCGTACAAAACTCAAAACAGATCATCAAAAAAAGGCAGTTGTTTCAAAACTCTAAGCACATTTTCAATTGGCTAAGTACAACACACAAAATCATAGTTTCAAATTGCAATACACGTTCATATAAAGTAACTTTCACAGTGCAATGCTCACATTACTTTTGATGTGATATGATTGTCGTCTCATTTGTTAAAATACATTTACTATTACTTAATCCAACTGCTCTTAATTGATGATCACTTAAAGATTTGGTAAACCTAGAGATTTAACATGTAAACTGGTTTGTCTACTACAGATTTTGAAAACGTCATAATGAAAATGAATGTCTGTAAAGTAGAGACATAAAATGTATGTTATAATGTACCACTATGATGATGACCAGATAAAATGCTATTTTACTGTAAACAAATTGACAACAAACTTTCAGCATGCTTATGGAGAAGGACATTCAACAAGCACAGCACTTACACAAATGACTGATGATTGGCTGAGAGAAATTTATGATAAAAAGATTGTGGGGGCTGTTTTGTTTTAGACTTCAGTGCGACATTTGACATTATCGATCATAGTCTGCTGCTGAAAAAAACGTATGTGTTATGGCTTTACACCCCCTGCTATAATGTGGATAAAGAGTTCCCTGTCTAACAGAACACAGAGGGTGTTCTTTAATGGAAGCCTCTCAAATTTAATCCAGGTAGAATCAGGAATTTGAGTAAAGCCAGTGTGTCTATGTATGCGGATGACTCAACACTATACACGTCAGCTACTACAGCGACTGAAATGACTGCAACACTTAACAAAGAGTTGCAGTTAGTTTCGGAATAGGTGGCAAGGAATAAGTTAGTCCTAAATATTTCCAAAACTAAAAGCATTGTATTTGGGTCAAATCATTCACTAAACCTCAACTACATCTCATAATGAATAATGTGGAAATTGAGCAAGTTGAGGTGACTAAACTGCTTGGAGTAACCCTGGATTGTAAACTGTCATGGTCAAAACATATCGATACAACAGTAACTAAAATGGGGTGAAGTCTGTCCATAATAAAGCGCTGCTCTGCATTCTTAACAGCACTATCAACAAGGCAGGTCCTACAGGCCCTAGTTTTGTCGCACCTGGACTACTGTTCAGTAGTGTGGTCAGGTGCCACAAGGAGGGACTTGGGAAAAATGCAGTTGGCTCAGAACAGGGCAGCACGGCTGGCCCTTAAAAGTACATGGAGAGCTAACATAAATTACATGCATGTCGGTCTCTCCTGGCTTAGAGTGGAAGAGAGATTGACTTCATCACTGCTTGTTTTTGTAAGAGGTGTCGACAAGCTGAATGTACCGAGCTGTCTGTTTGGAATACTGGCACACCCATGCATACCCCACAAGACATGCCACCAGAGGTCTCTTCACAGTCCCCAAGTCCAGAACAGACTATGGGAGGCACACAGTACTACATAGAGCCATGACTACATGGAACTCTATTCCACATCAGGTAACTGATGCAAGCAGTAGAATCAGATTTAAAAAACATTTATCCAAAATGAAGTTGCTTGGATCTTTTTACTAAAATTGCATTGGTCAATACAGTACTGTAATACTGTAATATAGATCAATACAGTCATGTAATACCGTAATATATTTAATCTTTATTTAACTAGGCAAGTCAGTTAAGAACAAATTCTTATTTACAATGACGGCCTACACCGGCCAAACCCGGACGACGCTGGGCCAATTGTGCGCCGCCCTATGGGACTCCCAATCACGGCCGGTTGTGAAACAGCCTGGAATCGAACCAGGGGGTCTGTAGTGACGCCTCAAGCACTGAGATGCAGTGCCTTAGACCGTTGCGCCACTCGGAAGCCCTATACAGGTCAATACAGTACTGTAATACCGTAATATACATTTACATTTACATTTACATCATTTAGCAGACACTCTTATCCAGAGCGACTTACAAATTGGTGCATTCAACTTATGGTAGCAAGTGGGACAACCACTTTTTTTCTTCTTTTTTTTAATGGGGGGGTGGGGGGGGGGGGGGGGGGGGGGGGGGGGGGTAGAAGGATTACTTGATCCTATCCCAGGTATTCCTTAAAGAGGTAGGGTTTCAAGTGTCTCCGGAAGGTGGTCAGTGACTCCGCTGTCCTGGCGTCGTGAGGGAGCTTGTTCCACCATTGGGGTGCCAATGTGCTTCCGTAGAGGTAGGGAGGTAAGGCGGTGCCGTTCCCCTCACAGCTCCGTAGGCAAGCACCATGGTCTTGTAGTAGATGCGAGCCTCAACTGGAAGCCAGTGGAGTGGAGTGTAGATCAATACAGTACTGTAATACCGTAATATTGGCCAATACAGTACTGTAATACCGTAATATTGGCCAATACAGTACTGTAATACCGTAATATAGGCCAATACAGTACTGTAATACTGTAATATAGGCCAATACAGTACTGTAATACTGTAATATAGGCCAATACAGTACTGTAATACTGTAATATAGGCCAATACAGTACTGTAATACTGTAATATAGGCCAATACAGTACTGTAATACTGTAATATAGGCCAATACAGTACTGTAATACCGTAATATAGGACAATACAGTAATGTAATACCGTAATATAGGCCAATACAGTACTGTAATACCGTAATATTGGCCAATACAGTACTGTAATACCGTAATATAGGACAATACAGTACTGTAATACCGTAATATAGGCCAATACAGTACTGTAATACCGTAATATAGGACAATACAGTACTGTAATACCGTAATATAGGCCAATTACAGTACTGTAATACCGTAATATAGGCCAATTACAGTACTGTAATACTGTAATATAGGCCAATACAGTACTGTAATACCGTAATATAGGCCAATACAGTACTGTAATACCGTAATATAGGACAATACAGTACTGTAATACCGTAATATAGGAAAATACAGTACTGTAATACCGTAATATAGGCCAATACAGTACTGTAATACCGTAATATAGGCCAATACAGTACTGTAATACCGTAATATAGGCCAATACAGTACTGTAATACCGTAATATAGGCCAATACAGTACTGTAATACCGTAATATAGGCCAATACAGTACTGTAATACCGTAATATTGGCCAATACAGTACTGTAATACTGTAATATAGGCCAATACGGTACTGTAATACTGTAATATAGGCCAATACAGTACTGTAATACCATAATATAGGCCAATACAGTACTGTAATACCGTAATATAGGCCAATACAGTACTGTAATACCGTAATATTGGCCAATACAGTACTGTAATACCGTAATATAGGCCAATACAGTACTGTAATACCGTAATATTGGCCAATACAGTACTGTAATACCGTAATGTAGGCCAACACATCTAATGATTCTTTCTCTTCACAGCAAAATCTGCAGAGCTGGGAAGATTGTATCCCCCATATAAATAACATTCTATTGGTAGCAAGAATTTTGTATAATAATTTAAATTGAACAATTCTATGTTTTGAATACGGCGTCGTTTTGCATATCAGTTCATAAACACTATGCCATGGAATCGGTACATCAAAAATCTCTTCCCAACTATTTTGCAATCTATATGGGACGGCTGTCAATCTTTTGGTCTTTAAATGAAACTGGTATACTTTTTTATTTATCACAATTTTCTTTAACCAATTATGTTCTTTAATGCAAGGCCGACAGACAAGTTCCTTACTTTTTCCCCCTTCCACTTTCCTCTTCCATTTTTGCGGTAAGGCTGCAATTATTTGGTTGTAATTTTGGGTAGAGCAGACAATTCCATATGTTTCTGTTAGTTGCATGTGCGACATAACTCCACCAGTCCTACCGATTATATCATTTACGAAGATTATACCTTTTTTAAACATTTTTTCAAAAGATAATGTTTTTTTTAATCAATTAGTATATTTGAGTTTAACCGCAATATTTTTTGCATTATTTGTTCTGTCGTTTCTGGAGGATTAAATTGAAATTGCAACCAACTTTCTATGGCTTGTTTTAGAAATAATGATATTTGGGAGATGATTTATTTTTCAAATAACTGAAAGTGAGAGGTTGTAATCTGAGTAAAGGAAAAAGGGCCATTCTTGAACATGGGGTGAGACAATATATATATATATATATTTTTTTTTTGTGGGGGAATGGATCAGCTTAATATTGCAGATAGATTGTATCTTCTATCAATGTAATTGTCTGCATCACTTCCAATCCCCCATGTTTTATTTTTATTTTTATATATATACTCCCCTTTATTACTTTTCAACCCCACCATCCTTTCCCTACTTCGAGTAAATTAGTGAACAACAACGCCCAGGCCTCTACTTCCGGTCTATAATTACTATCTACACCTTATGGACACAGTTCATTTTACAATAATTCTATTATATATATATATATATATATATATATATATATATATATATATATTTTCTTTTATTTTTTTTTTTTATTGCTCCTGAACTTCTTCTACTCTCAACCTCTCCGATCATTTTCATGATGTCCATCCGGTTTGCTTCTATATGCCATATCTTTCTAACTGTGCTCTTTCCCAAAAGCTCCCAACATACAACCTATATACTTATTATGGACACAGTATGCCGACATTATTAGTTATCTTTGTTATTATTTGTTGTTATTTGTTATTAGTCCCATCCTTCAACTCCATTCAACACCACCCATCTATCTCTTAACACCATCCATATAGGATTTCTATTTGCCATATATATTTCAACCGTACTGTGATGTTTTACAAAAGTTCTGAACCTTTCTATTCTCATTGTTTCTACAGATTGGAACTTGAAAATAAACATTTTTGCTAAAAGTATTATTATATTATTGATCGATTGACTATGACTTTTCAGATTACCCAGTAATGCTATCTGCAAGGTTAGCTTCAGGTAAATATTGCAATCCTTTAGCCATTCCTGGACCCATGTCCAAAAACAAGCTACAAATGGACAGAACCAAAACAAATGATCTAATGATTCTGTCTCTTCACAGCAAAATCTGCAGAGCTGGGAAGATTGTATCCCCCATATAAATAACATTTTATTGGTAGCAAGAATTTTATATAATAATTTAAATTGAAAGATTCTAATTTTTGAATCCGGTGTCGTTTTGCGTGTCAGTTCAAAGATCTCTTCTTCCCAACTATTTTGCAATCTATATGGGACGGCTGTCAATCCTTTGGTCCTTAAGTGAAACTGATATACTTTTTTATTTATCACAGTTTTCCTTAACCAATTATGTTCTTTAATGCAAGGCCGACAGACAAGTTCCTTACTTTCTCCCCCTTCCACTTTCCTCTTCCACTTTTGCGGTAAGGCTGCAATTATTTGGTTGTAATTTTGGGTAGAGCAGACATTTCCATATGTTTTTGTCAGCTGCATGTGCGACATAACTCCACCAGTCCTACCGATGATATCTTTTACGAAGATTATACCTTTTTTAAACATTCTGTCAAAAAATAAAGGTTTTTTGTCAATTAGTATATTTGAATTTAACCACAATATTTGTTGCATTATTTGTTCTGTCGTTTCTGGAGGATTAAATTGAAATTGCAACTAACTTTCTATGGCTTGTTTTAGAAATAGTGACATTTGGGACATTATTTCCTTTTCAAGTAACTGAAAGTGAGTGGTTGTAATCTGAGTAAAGGGAAAAAGGCCATTCTTGAACATGGGGTGAGACAATCTTACTAATTTTCTAGAGAACCAGTTGGATTTAAGTATAACTTTTGTGATAGGTCTAATGCTTTAATATTCAATAATTTCTGTCCTCCAAATTCATATTCATTATATATATAGGCCTGTTTCATTTTGTCTGACTTGTCGTTCCAAATCAAATTGAATATTTCTTTCTCATATAATTTAAAAAACTGTTTGCTAGGCGTAGACAAGACCATAAGCAAATAGGTAAACTGGGAAAATACTAATTATAACTGGCTATACTTATTTCACCATATACCATATTGAGATACAAGTTTCAAATATATTTATCATAATAATGTTCTGTAACTTAAGGTACTGTAGCAAACTACATTCAAAGGGTAATTTTGAAACATGTACTGTATCTTAAATTTTTTGCTATTGGATTAACTGGTTGTTAAAATAATTAAATTGAGAAGATATCATGATGTTGTGTTTTGGTAATTAAACCAATGTACTCATAGTATTTTCACAGTAAACGTATATTTTGGATCAATGGTTGTGTGGTGAAAGATGTCTACAAACAAAATGAATGCACATTTACATTACATTTACGTCATTTAGCAGACGCTCTTATCCAGAGCGACTTACAGTTAGTGAATACATTTTTTATTTATTTTTCATACTGCCCCCCCGTGGGAATCGAACCCACAACCCTGGCGTTGCAAACACCATGCTCTATCAACTGAGCTACATCCCTGCCGGCCATTCCCTCCCCTGGACGACGCTGGGCCAATTGTGCGCCGCCCATGATTCTCCCGGTCGCGGCCGGCTGCGACAGAGCCTGGATTCGAACCAGGATCTCTAGTGGCACAGTTAGCACTGCGATGCAGTGCCTTAGACCACTGCAGACCACTGCATCGCAGGTTTTGAATGTAAGACCGGCTGAGAGGTGGAGGGTGGATGCCCCCCCCCCTACGGTGAGAGACCAAGTGTAAATGTTAAGTGGCTAATATCCATCCTCTGTGCTGACAGTAGCACTCAGAGAGAGAGAGAGACAGAGCTTGAGACGGGAACTGACAGCTCACTCGGACGGAGTGACAGAATAGTGTGTGTCTGCATGTGTATTGGGACTGACAGCTCACTCAGACGGAGACAGACGATATGACACACCCTATTAGAGACCCACTGGTTTAACCAGCGCAGCTTAACACACTGATCAATGCCCCAGCAACCATGGTGCGTGTGTGTTTGTTTGTGTGTGTGTGTGTGTGTGTGTGTGTGTGTGTGTGTGTGTGTGTGTGTGTGTGTGTGTGTGTATGTGCAGTGTATCTGTGGCTACCTCTCTAGCCTTTTCATTGTACCACAGGCATACTGTGATTTATATTGTAGGCTTTCTATAAAGCCATGAGCTTATAAAGTCAGAGATTTCCAATGCCTCCTTGCTCTACCTTCTAAATGATGATCCACCAGCCACCAGAGCTCCACACCGCCGCCTCATCAAAGAAAACCAATAACAATGGCGGAGGGGCGGAGAGTGGCGCTGTTGCCCCTACTGCGGATTCCACTTTCAAGCTAAATTTATCAGTTGAACCAGAAAATGCACACCGTTTTCAGAGCTGTTGAAGCCTACGGCCGCACACAGCAATTTGAAGTATGGTGGACACTGTTACAGTACAATGTAATAACCCCCGGCCACCCACAAATAAAACACACGCACACATATACACACACACACACACATATACACACATACACACACACACACACACACACACAGTAAACAATGCAAACCGCACTGCCAAAGGCCTAAACAATAGAAGGACGGCCATCTTGGCTGTGCCACTCTACCTCTGTAGCAGAACTCTCTGCCTGAGGAAACCTTTCACCTACTGGGCCCGAACACGACAGAACTGAACAGAACTTACCTTCTTGGCTTTCTTAGTGGGCTCATAGTCCATCCCTGAAGTAGGCCGTGGATGGTGTGGTGTGTCTCTCTGAGAGCTGCGGGCCGGTTGTGGACTCTGGGCTGACAGCTGGGACGTGTGTGTGTGTGTGTTCCTGGTGCTAAACAAAGCCCCCAGGAGCACAGGAGAGTCACAGGAAACAGAGGAAGCCCACTTCCTGTTAGAGAGGAAACTCCACCAGAGCCTGATAATAAACTAACACAGACAGACAGACAGACAGACAGACAGACAGACAGACAGACAGACAGACACACACAAACACACACACACAAACACACAACACACACACACTCACACACTCACACAAACACACACACACAGCCTGATAAACTCCCCTCAGTAACCAATTCTCTGACCTGATAACAGAGGAATAAACACACACAAGCACATATGCATGCCTACATGCTGATTAAGACACACAGTGGTATGTATGCAGTAATCTATTCAAGTATACAAGAACACACTTACACATAGAACACACCAGAGAACACACCATAGAACACACCATAGAACACACCATTTGAACACACCAGAGAACACACCAAGAACACACATAGAACACCATAGAACACACCATAGAACACACCATAGAACACACCATAGAACACACCATAGAACACACCAGAGAACACACCAGAGAACACACCATAGAACACACCAGAGAAACACACCATAGAACCACACCATAGAACACACCAAGAACCACACCAGAGAAACACCATAGAAACAAACCAAGAGAACCAAAACACCATAGAACACACCATAGAAACACCACCATAGAACACACCAAGAACAACCATAGAACACACCAAGAACACACCAAGAACACACCATAGAACAACAAAGAATAGAACACACCATAGAACACACCCGAGAACAAAACCATGAACACACCATAGAACAGACCATAGAACACACCATAGAACACACCATAGAACACACCATAGAACACACCATAGAACACACCATAGAACAGACCATAGAACACACCATAGAACACACCATAGAACACACCATAGAACACACCATAGAACACACCATAGAACACACCATAGAACACACCATAGAACACACCATAGAACACACCATAGAACAACACCATAGAAAACACCATAAACAAACCAAGAACACACCATAAACCCACCATAGAACACACCATAGACACCACCATAGAACACACCATAGAACACAAACAGAGAACAGACCATAGAACACCATAGAAACACACCATAGACACAAAACAACATAGAACACACCATAAAAACAAACCAAAAAAACACCATAGAACCATTAGAACACCATAGAAACACCATAGACACACCATAGAACACACACATAGAAACAAACCATAGAACACACCATAGAACACACCATAGAACCACCATAGAACACACCATAGAACACACCATAGAACACCATAGAACACCATAGAACACATAGAACACATGAAACAACAAACCCTAGAAAACACACCATAGAAACCAAACACCATAGAACCACCAAAAACATAGAACACACCAAAACACCATGAACAACCATAGAAAACCATAGAACACCATAGAACACACCAAGAACACACCATAGAACACACACCATAGAACACACCATAGAACACACCATAGAACCCCACCATAGAACACCACCCCCTAGAACACACCCGAGAACACACCCTAGAACACACCATAGAACACTAAACACACCATAGAAACACAACCATAGAACACACCATAGAACACACCCACCATAGAACACACCATAGAACCAACCACCATAGAACACACCATAGAACACACCATAGTAGAACACACCATAGAAACACCATAGAACACACCATAGAACACCATAGAACACACCAAAACACCAGAAACACACCATAGAAACACACCATAGAACACACCATAGAACACACCAGAGAGAAACAACCCCCATAGAACACACCATAGAACACACCATAGAACACACCATAGAACACACCATAGAACACACATAGAAACACACATAGAACACACCATAGAACACACCATAGAACACACCATAGAACACACCATAGAACACCCCCATAGAACCAAACAAAAACCATAGAACACACCATAGAACACACCATAGAACACACCATAGAACACACCATAGAACACACCATAGAACACACCATAGAACACACCATAGAACACACCATAGAACACACCATAGAACAGACCATAGAACACACCATAGAACACACCATAGAACACACCATAGAACACACCATAGAACACCATAGAACACCCATAGAACACACATAGAACACCATAGAACACCATAGAACACACCAGAGAACACACCATAGAACACACCATAGAACACACCATAGAACACACCAGAGAACACACCATAGAACACACCATAGAACACACCATAGAACACACCAGAGAACACACCATAGAACACACCATAGAACACCATAGGAAACACACATAGAACAACCATAGAACACACCATAGAAACCCCACCATAGAACACACCATAGAACACACCATAGAACACCATAGGAACAACCATAGAACACCATAGAACACACCATGAAGAACACACCATAGAACACCATAGAACACCATAGAAACACACCATAGCCAAACACACCATAGAACACCTACACCATAGAACAACCAAGAACACACCATAGAACCACACCATAGACACACAGAGAACACACCAGAGAACACACATAGAACACACCATAGAACACACCATAGAACACCATAGAACACCATAGAACACACCATAGAACACCATAGAACACACCATAGAACACACCATAGAACACACCATAGAACAACCAAGAACACCATAGAACACACCATAGAACACACCATAGAACACACCATAGAACACACCATAGAACACACCATAGAACACACCATAGAACCACATAGAACACCATAGAACACACCATAGAACACACCATAGAACACACCAGAACACACCTTAGACACACCATAGAACACACCATAGAAAACACCAGAGAACACACCCATAGAAACACACCAGAGAACCACACCATAGGAACACACCATTAGAACACACCATAGAAACACCATAGAACACCATTAGAACACACATAGAACACACCATAGAACACACCATAGAACTACACACCATAGAACACACCATAGAACACCATAGAACAACCATAGAACACACCATAAACACACCATAGAACACACCATAGAAACACCATAGAACACACCCATAGAACACACCATAGAACACACCATAGAACACCATAAGAACACCATAGAACAACCATAGAACACACCATAGAAACACCCATAGAACACCATAGAACACCATAGAACACACCATAGAACACACCATAGAACACACCATAGAACACACCATAGAACACACCATAGAACACACCATAGAACACACCAGTAGAACACACCATAGAACACACCATAGAACACACCATAGAACACACCAGAGAACACCATAGAACACACCATAGAACACACCATAGAACACACCATAGAACACCATAGAACACACCATAGAACCATAGAACACCATAGAACACACCATAGAACACACCATAGAACACCATAGAACACACCATAGAACACACCATAGAACACACCATAGAACACCAAGAACAACCATAGAACACACCATAGAACACACCATAGAACACACCATAGAACAACATAGACACACACCATAGAAACACACCATAGAACCACCATAGAACACCATAGAACACCATAGAACACCATAGAACACACCATAGAACACACCATAGAACACACCATAGAACACACCATAGAACACACCATAGAACACCATAGAACACACCATAGAACCACCATAGACACCATAGAACACACCATAGAACACACCATAGAACACACCATAGAACACACCATAGAACACACCATAGAACACACCATAGAACACACCATAGAACACACCATAGAACACACCATAGAACACACCATAGAACACACCATAGAAACCATAGACACACCATAGAACAACCCCAAGAAAACCAGAACACCATAGAACACCATAGAACACACCATAGAACACAACATAGAACACACCATAGAACACACCTAGAAAACAAACACCATAGAACACACCATAGAACACCATAACACCCATAGAACACACCATAGACACACCATAGAACAACCATAGAACACGACATGAACACACCATAGACACACCATAGAACACACCATAGAACACATAGAACACACCATAGAACACACCATAGAACAACCAGAGAACACATAGAACACATAGAACACCATAGAACACCACCATAGAACACACCATAGAACACACCATAGAACACACCTAGAACAAACACAATAGAAACACCGACACCATAGAACACCATAGAAACAACCATAGAACACCTAGAACACACATAGAAACACACCATAGAACACACCATAGAACAACCATAGAGACAACTGCACCATAGAACACCATAACCACATAGAATCACCGAGAACACACAGTAGAACACATAGAACACAAAGAACCACCATAGTGAAACACCTAGAAACACATTTCTAGAACCACCATAGAAACCAATAGAACACCATAGAACACCATGAACCCATAGAACACCCATAGAACACCTAGAAACAGCCATAGAAACACCATAGAAAACCATAGAACACACCATAGAACACCATGAACACACCATAGTAGACCACCATAGAACACCAACACCATGACACACCATAGAACACACCATAGAACACCATAGAACACACCATAGAACACACCAGAGAACACACCATAGAACACACCATAGAACACAAGCAAAAACATAAACCTACACTAAACTCAGTAATATCCCCCCAAGCTGGACCAATAAGACTTTAGCTGTAGGTGCCAGTTCTCAACACTAGAGGTCAGTTGGAGACAGGGAGCGCAGTGTGCCATGCCAGTTCTCAACACTAGAGGTCAGTTGGAGACAGGGAGCGCAGTGTGCCATGCCAGTTCTCAACACTAGAGGTCAGTTGGAGACAGGGAGCGCAGTGTGCCATGCCAGTTCTCAACACTAGAGGTCAGTTGGAGACAGGGAGCGCAGTGTGCCATGCCAGTTCTCAACACTAGAGGTCAGTTGGAGACCGGGACCGCAGTGTGCCATGCCAGTGAGTCTTTTAGTATCTTTATCAGTGGAGGCTGCTGAGGGGAGGACGGCTCATAACAATGGCTGGAACGGAGCGAATGGAATGGCATCAAACACATTTGACACCATTCTACTCAGTCAGCTCCACCCATTACCATGAGCCTGTCCTCCCCAATTAAGGAGCCACCAACCTCCTGTGATCTTTATGCACTACTGTCTGCAGGGTAGGAGGGGGGACAAGGCAAAGCCAATGTGCATCCCAAATGGCACCCTATTCCCTATATAGTGCACTACTTTTCATAGGTCTTTGGTAAAAAGTAGTGCAGTATATATAGC